CACTCTGGGGTGCATCCCATCAGGGCCCATGGATTTGTGGGTATCAATTTTCCTTAGGTGCTCTCTGACCCAATCTTCCTCTACCCAGGGTGAGTCTTCCTTTCTCCAGGCTTCTTCTCTTGTCCCTATAGCCTGGGGCTCTAAAGGGCTGCCCTTGGTAAACACCGAAGCAAAGAAGGCATTCAGCAACTCTGCTTTTTCTGTGTTATTTGTAACCAGGGCGCCCATCTTGTTCACCAGCGGATCCATGTTTTCCCTGATCTTCCTTTTGCTGTTAATATATTTGAAGAAGTTTTTCTTGTTATTTTTAACATCCCTTGCCAGATTGCGTCCCATCTCACCTTAGCTTTCCTTGTCACATCTCTGCATTCCCTGAATACCTTCCTGTATTTCTCCCAGGGGGCCTGTCCTTTTTTCCACATTCTGTATACCGCCACCTTCTGCTTGAGCATTGCCACAAGCTCCTTGCTCATCCACGCGCGTCTCCTGCCCCCTCTGCCTGACTTCTTACACACAGGGATGCACTGTTGCTGGGCATGGAGGAAGTGCTGCTTGAAAACTAACCAGCTCTCTTGGGCCCCCCTACCTTCTAGAGCTCTAGCCCATGGGATTCCTCCAAGGAGGTCCCTGAAGAAGCTAAAGTTGGCCCTCCTGAGGACCGTCGTTGCAAGGCTACTTATAGCCCTGCCACCTCCTCGTTGGATCCTGAGCTTGTCTGCCCCAAAGTAACATGTCCACTCTCTTAAAATGTGAATCCTTGGGGACAGGGCCTGCGCTAAATCCACACTGACTTTGAAAATGCCTGTGCAGATTCTCTCCTCTGACGTATTTGAGGAAGAGCAACCCAAGTCAAACTTGGGGACCAGGTCTGGCTTTTACTGCATGGCAATAGAGTATTTTTAGTGTTTCGCTGTGGACTATAAAAAGCCTGAAATATGGACACTCCAGATACACTGCCTGATTTTTCAATGGCTTGTTAATAAGGTGTGCATTTATTTTTCCTCCTTAACATTATTAAAAATAAAAATACCAAGCAGGTGAATACGTTCTTTTTAATGGAGGGGAGAAGGATGACTGTCACTCAGTCAAGACTGGTTGCAAACATGGCTCCAACCAGGCCTCCTGCAGACTAAGTGAGCTTGGCTGGGTGCCACCGAGCTCACTCGGGGCCATGGCTCTTTAAAGACTGTTTGTTATGGATTTCTACAGTGGAGATATTTACCATGGGAGAACAAACAGATTACGCTACTGTGTTTCCTTGTGCTTTATAGAAGTGCTCTAAACTGTTTACAGTCTTGCCTAATACTGTTTAAATTGGTTTCACTCTGCGTGTTGTTCCGGCCTGCCCAGGGTTGGTGCTCGTGCGGATGCAGTTTGGCTGCAACAGCTTCCCCAGACTCCTGCGGAATCCTGGCCCAAGCTGCCAGGGCAGGGGCAGGCGGAAACGTCCTCTGGCGCTTCGAGGGGGCAGCCCGTGGCGGGGCGCCGGGCCCTGCCTGCCCGTGCTCAGCTCCTCCAGTGCTCAGCTCCTCCAGTGCGGGCCCGCATTTCGCTTCACCCGTGTTCACCACCGGTGCCATTCCCTGATTCACACAGTGCTGGTGAAATCTGGGTTCAGCGCACAGCCGTCCTGATCGGTTTTGTGCTTGTTCCTTGGAATTACTGTTTTAGGGTTTCGTTTCACCTTCGGAAGGTGGTGTGAATTCCCTGTCCCCATGCTTGAATGATGCAGAAAGCTCCATGTAGAATTGTGGAGTTCGCACCTTTTGCCTTATCCAGAGTTTTCCTGTAAAATTTTTCATTGCTTCTTTTTAAAAAGGAGCTCATTTTTTTTCAACAATTCAACATTTTTTTTCAACTTTTACACAATACCGTAGCACTCCAGGAAATTATCCAGTGTAAAACAGGAAGGGAAAAATGTTGCTGCCCCTGGACAAAGCAAATATTTTAATCCTACATAGTACTATTGTAAATGTGCATGTAATTATTCTTTCGAGCATTTCCACATGACATTTTTAAAGATGCAATGATTTATTATTTTTAGAAAAAAAAACTTGGAGCTTCTTTTCAATTTGGCGGAGACAAGGAGATGAAGTGAAGCCTGTGGCCGCAATGGGAATTGTGGGGAGAATGGGAATTGTGGGGAGCAAACGGGAGCGGTGTCAGCGAACAGGGAGGATGCGTGGGCTGCAAGTGGGTCTTTGGAGAGAGGGGCCACCAAAAACAGAGTTTTAGCTGGAGATGCAGAAACTCAAGAGACTTCTGGGAAAGAAAGAGGCATCAGATAATAAGGTAAAAACCATGTGAGGGGAAGCTGCACCCTGCAAAGACACCTGCCTGCAGCAGGGAGCCTTCGGCCTGGCCTGCTGCTCACTGTTTGTTTTTCTTTCCCCTGCTTGTTAATTATTGAAGCCAGTGGCCATTAAAGCAGTGGACCTTCTGCTATCAGGTTTATCTCTACTTTTACAGCCCTGTCAAGCAGCAGTAATGTAGATAAGCTGCTGGGTGGAGGCTGTTCAGGCAATAATTAAAACTATACTGAGAATGACAAGCAAGAAGTCAGCTCTCCTGCTATCAAAAAGAAATATAAAATAGTTAGAAGGGATGTCGATTCAGCCCTGGCAGTGAAATGGCAGGGCCAGCTTCTGCCTGACTTTCTTGCAGGTTTAAACAGAGCCATTTCAATATGTAATAAAGATGGGGCTTTGTCGAGAAGAATCCACTCGCTGCACATGGCAATCAAAGCAAGTCCCTCCGTAAAACAGCGAGGGCCTGGTTTCTTTTTCATTTCTATCAGTGTGCTTCCCCTGACTTCAGCAGGGACAATGTTGGCCCACGAGCTTGTGTAGCTGCACAGATGTAGGCTCTCTGGTTCACAGCCTGTCTTGTGTGCAGCTCTTCAGCGAGAGGAAAAGGTGATGGATTACGCTGCAAAATGGCTAGTCTCTGAATCAGAAGAGGCTTCTTTAATCTCTCACTTGGACTTTGACATGATCTATTATTTACAGCCTGGTTTGTGAAGGGAATTCAGGAGTTGGGACCAGCTGAAATAAAGTCAATCAAACAGGTGAAAATACTTCCTTTCCTACCGTGTGCCTTACAGTGTGAGTTCAGTCTTACAAAGGACAAATAGAGCAGTTTCCCAGCTGCCAGAGTATGTAGTGCCTCTGAAGTGCCGAACTTCTGAGGCTAGGACAATGTGAAGAGAGCTTAAATATAAGAAGGTGCATTAGCAGATGAAGTGAAGGATGAGACCTCATCTCTGAAGAGGGCAGGAAGGCGGATGCAGAAGCAGGCACTGCTCCAGGATGCAGACACCCATAACTGGACGCAAGACAACGTATTGCTCTGGGGCCAGGGCACATCAGACCTGAGGGAGGACAGGCCCATGCCAATCCCCCAGCACAGCTGCTTGATTAATGGAGCTGCGATGAGAATGCTCTTTGGCTCTGTCTCTTCATTCTTCTGACTTTTTTACCACAGTTTCTTGGGACCCTCCAGGATCAGAGGATCCTTCAGGAAAGCTGCTCTGTTGGAAATAACCATGAATGCGCACAGAGCTCAGGAGCCCCACTCCACTGCACGCAGGTTTGAATGAGACTCGTGGACAGTCCTGCCACATGAAAACCACAGCATCAAGTACATTTGGGCTGTATTACTCTGCAGCAGCAAAAAGTACTCAAAAGTAGGTCGTGGCACTAATCCTGCTGGTTCCAGAATCCTGGTGGTTCCTGTAATCAGAATATACAAAAGGGTTGAAAGTTCAGCCTGCGCCGGGAAATGTGGCCGGAGAGCCGGCAGGCTGGAGCGCCGCCCACGATCCCGTCTCTTGGGGGGCTCCTGGAAGGAGGCTTCTCTGCTCTGGGATGCAGCCATCAGTGGGGCTCAATGGAAATGCATTTTTTTCTTCTTTTTTTTTTTATGTGAAAGTGGTTGAATTGTTATCTTGGAATATGAGGCGGATGCTCCGCGCATCCCTGGGTCCTCCTGCTGCAGGACCGGAATACTGAGCCCAGTGCCAAGTCCTGGGCTTGTTCCGAATCCAGACCTCCTTCCAAGCTTTTGATGCAGGCATCCCAGATTCCCTCTCCAAGTCAACATAGAAATGTTAGAGGTGTCACCTGGCTTTTACACATATATACGTAAGGCAGCTAAATAGCGTAACAGCAATAACTGTAATGCTGGGTGAACTAAGGCTGCAAATGTTTAGGATAAAATCTTCCTTTCAAACCTTCCTGTCTCCTTGCAATTGGTAGTGTGAGGTGTATCTTTGTGAGGGACGATGCATCTAAATCATCATGTTTAACAGCTGCCAATGGATCAGTGCTCCATGAAATATTTTAATCCCTTTCCAGCCCTGCTGCTATGATCTGATCCTGCATTGAAGACTTCCACATCTGAAACAATCTTCGTTCTCTGTTTTGAACTAATTTATCAGATTTCTTCATTGCAAACCCTTGGTTCTTATAAAGAAAGGAAATAACAATATTTTATCCAGAACATCCATGATTTACAGCTCCCTGTTTCCATTATCTCCTCTCTCAGCTGAAGACAACGAGTTAATACAACTTTTGTCTACTACAAAGCCCTTGCGTGGCTCCGCACCTCCATTTCTGGGCATGAGAAATGAGGATAATACTGCCCTGCACCATAGGATATGTGGTGCTTGTAAAGAACTTAAGAACCATTATATAGGAAAGGCATTATCATAACATTCAAAATGCTGCATATAAATTAATTCACAAATATGCGTGCAGCTGACATGAGTATAAATTAGGTCATTCTCATTCACAAATGACTTTTCATACAAAGTACGGGAATCAATTACAGGCATCAGTTTTTGCAAATGTGGCCATTATTTATTAGAAAGCACTCCTAAAATTATCTTGGTGCTAAAATATGAATATTGTTATGCAAGAAAGGTATACAGTGAATCCATTCAAAGCATTAATTGAGAGAGGAGTCCCCCCACCCCCTTATTCATTGCCTGCCTTGTATACAGTTCATATACTGTATTTAAGTCTCTTGCACCAAATGAAAGGTAACACAGAATCCTCCATATTTCTTAAGTCATTTGATCATGATTGAATTTTAATTTGTCTCCTTCAGAGCTTTTTTTCCCTTGCTAGGTCTTTGAAAGAGAATTACTCACAATGAAGGGTTTAAGTAGCAACTTTTCAAATTCTGCCGTGTTCTTTCCTTACACATTTAGTTGTAGTTGCTTTCAATCTTTAGAGCCTATGCTGCCCTTTCAGGTTGTCTGTTCAGATCACTTCGTTTTACTTAATGTAAATATTCTGGCATATTTCAGAACCAAATAATGATGAATGTGATTAGAATCGGAGCTTTGTTAAGTATCCTGGAAAGCTCCTTTATTTCAGCAAGGGAGATATATCACCTCTGTTGCAAATTATATCATGCTGACAGAGTGAAATGTACTGTAACCTGATGAGAAAAAGAACATGATCTAATTGTATTGATACAGGAGGAAAAAAAAGTGAACACCATGTTCAAAACAAGTTTGTCGGTAAGAGTTGGGATTTTTTTTCCTAGTTTTTCTTTTCTGCTGCAGATAGTGAGCTAATTGTGTCTCTGGGTAGAAAAGTACAGCCAGTGCCAGCATGGCTGGCAGGTGGCTCCTATTCATTTCCTTTGCACTGCACAGGGGCAATCCCAGAGAGAATGATAAGGAACCATCTCTAACATGGACAAGATGCCCTCCTGTGAAATTATACATTGAAAACTCTTCAAAAATCCTTTGTCAGGGTGGTAGATGAACTGTTTGCAGACAATAATGAAGACTGTGTCCCTTTCCTAAAATAGTTTTGATGCCAGGGCCAAATTTCATCTATGATTACCTCCAATCTCAGTTTAAGTCATTATATCTATTTCCTCCAAGCCAAAAGAGATGGTCTGGGTTAATGCAGGGGTTGTTCAGAGGTATAGCTGCTTTCAGGACACATCTGCAAATAAAGAAAAGCTGAACAATGCACAGCGGTACCACTAGGCAGGAATACGAACCAAAATTATTTGGTTCTGCGGCCTTGTTTGCTCCTTTGCTGGAAACATGGTTTTGCTGAATAGGTGCCAGAATGAGTCACAATTCATGGTCTTCACTGCCCGCCTGCAAAGCTATGGGCATTTCTTGAGGTCAGGGAAGGGGTCAGTGTTCACAGAGTGCTGCTCCCCGAAAGGATTTACCAGTAGTGTAAATAGCACCATCTTCCGTTACTGCAGGTATCTTTCTAAGGCATCACCATGTTCAAACTGATGAAAAGAGAATAGCAGAGCTGCTTGAAGCACAGGCTTGTGCGCCCAGAAAGAGGCCGGCCTTTACCTCAGATGTGCAAGTTGCGACTAAAGCTTCTTGAATGGACTTCTATATTGATCTTAAAAACAACAACAAAAAAGTAATTTATCTGCCCCAGGAAGCTCTTTTGAAGGCCCATAGTTGCTGCCAGGCAGAACCTGTCTGCTCCGCCGCGGCAGCGGTCGTTCGAAGGCAGCGCTGCCAAACGCCCTTCTGAGGAGGGGACCCATGTCCAGCTTCCACAGTACCCCTGTGTAAGCCCAAGTCCCGGGTTTTCAGATCAGCAGGTGTATCAGGAGACGTATCCACTCTTTGTAAGTACGTGTTAAACCTATACTTAAACGGGGCTTTGAAATGGCAGGAAGTTGTGTGCTGGATTTACCATTAAATGGTGAGGAGGGTGGGAAGAGAAAGAAACAATGTTGTCAAGCCTCTGAAAAGAAGAACAAGGAAGCTCTTTATTTCCCTGTCACTCATGTTTCAAACACTGGAGGTCACAAATAACATGGGATGAACTAACCTATAGTCCCTGTGATTACCATGAGCAAATGTGCTTAACCAGATTTTTTCCCCAAAATCTAAAAGGGGGAGAAGGTGCTTACCCTTGTCTAATTTTTGCCTTTAATTTCTGTGTTAAAGTGTTCACATGATGTTCCTCTCTTCTTGTTCTAAACTAGCATGAAATACTGCTACACTGATGAGAGGATAGCCTGTTCCTATCAAAATACAATCTCCACTGACCTTGCTAGGGGTGTGATTTGTTCCTTTATGGTGCTGTCCACCACATCTGAAGTGAAGACAGTTATCTCAGCACATCAGCTGAAGTTACCAAAGTTATTTTAAATATTTGCAATTAAATAAGTACAAAGTGTTGCTTCTGTCAGTAACTGCAAGCTACTAAGCTTAAAAACATATTTGGGAACAAAAATGTTTTAAAAAGCAATTAAAAAAATTACATTAAGTATTTGTAAGAAATTTTGCCAAATGACAGGAAGGTTGCATTTTTTTATTTTAAATGACTGTTCAGTATTACCCAAATGACCATTTTATGCACTTGTATAAAACAAAAATAGTTTTGCTTTTAAAAAATGAGATTTGGCACTTAGGGCAAATTTTTCCTCTCCAATCTGCAATGCAGATGCCTTAGCCGCAGAGCAGATTTCAGCTGCCTTTCTGCATTCACTTCATGCATAAAACTTTTGCTGACATCTCTGGGAGTTCCACGCGCGACCTCGGCGCAGACCAGGCTACACAGAACAGGCCACAGGGAGACATTTCCCCTGATTTACCTTCAATATCCTGCACAAACATCTAGACAAAGATTGAAATCACCCTGGTAGCCACCACCTGACCACAGTTCCTACATGACATGAAAAATTCCTGGGAATAATTGTCACCCGGCTACTGCCTGCTAGAGAGGTTAGTATTTCAGCTAGTTCTGCGATGAGAGATCTCTGAATCGAACAAGAGGTGATGACTGTGCAAACGTAACCAGCTAAAATTTGCCAATGAAACCAAACCCTTACATCCAACCAAACCCTTACCCGTTGCTCCCGCTGTGTGGGCAGAATTCATGGCATCCCCGCGGCGTTGCCTTAGCGATGGCAGCGTCTCCGGCTTCCAGTAGCAGCGATCCAAGCCGGGGAGCGTTGCTGTTGCTTGCGTGCACACGAGCCGTGCAAAACTTCATTGGAAAGGGGGCCCTCAGGATGAAGTGGATACGGATCCGTTAGGTGTTTATAAAGGGGAAGGCAACTCTTGCTTCCCTTGTGCAAAGAGGATGTGCTAAAGCCCATGCCAATTGCTGTTTCTGTGTGCCTTGAGGCAATGTGAGCAGGATTTTCTCTTTAAATCGCTGCTAATTAGAATGGATAAATCCAACAAAATACCAGCAATGAATATTAATTGCAAAAAAACCCTAAATCTTACCTAGATGTATTTTGAATTTTCCTGTGTTATATATATATTTTTTTAACCCTGCAAAGTGTCACATTTGCCTCTGTGTGTCCATGCCTGGAAAGTGTGAAAAAGCAAATGAAAAATCACAAAAAAAAAACAGTGCAAATGTATTTTGATAAAATTTTCCAGCAGAAATATTTAACCAGTGTTTGGAAGTCTGTCTTGTTCCTCCTCCTCCCTAAAACGTTGTATTTGATAGAGTGGGGCAACAAGGTATCTAATGCAGATTTCCACACCAGATGTAGCAAATAATTACAGGTACAGGATGACATTTTGAAAAATACTTTTTTCCTTACAATGAGACCTGGGCACTTAACCAGTCCTAATGAAAAGGAGTGAGTCTCGGACACAAGAGTCATTTTTGAGAATGATACATAAGTAGCTTGAAAATGTAGTTTCTCTCGACACGGGTACAAAATAAGTTTGGGGGGACTGATGAAATAAATCCCCGGTTTGTGGATTACAAACAGAGGAAAGGACTAAATCCATGTAGGACGAGTGCTGGAAATGGCTTGTTGAGTGCGGTTGCTTAAATGTTTTCAGTAACGAGAACTTAACCCTATTGCCAGTCACGGATTTGTTGGTTTCCTTGGCTCTTGTTAAGACCGTGCACATGAATTCACTGTCTTGGAGGATCAGATTGCTGTAGCTGATCTGACAAAAGGGAAAATATAAATAACAAAATCAAAAGTGATACATTTAACTGCGTTTTAAAGATGCAATAGAAAATTATTTCATCTAATTGCTGCTAAAAGAGATTCGCAGAGTAAGTGTATCAAATGGGGTTAAGGAGAAAAAGTCTTTTGGGGAGAAAGGAAAGATATGATACAAACTGATAGCATTTGAGGTATTTACTAGGAAGACCTTCTTTACATCTGTCTCACTCCTTAGAATTATTTTCTTGTACAAAACAGAAAATTTAGAACATAACATTGCCTGCCCCTTTGTCTGGACTTCTGATCTTTCTGGAGATGCTACTGTTGAACTTTCAGAAGGAAACTGAAATATTAATTAATGTTCCTTGTTCTGGCATTAATCGTTCACTCAAAAAATCATATAGAAGTTACAATTGGATTAAAAGATTGAGGTTAATTAAATACCTGCAGTGACTGAGGTCCTGTAGACCTAGGAGCGTTGCAGGCAACTGCCACCTCTCCCTGTTAAATGCTGTAAAACACTGTGTGACAGGTTTCCTGGAAGCCCTTCGGGTCGATGCTTCTGCAAGCGCGTGACTCCCTCCCCAGCTGGTGAGTGCATTGCACCAGAAACCTCTGGTTCGGCCCGTGCTCCTGCCAAGCGTTTCTTGGACCCTATCGCGTGCCTTCCACATTGGCCAAGTTTAAAGGGGGAGAAGGAGGAGCAGAAAGATTAGGCAGCTGCTTTTGAAACCCATCAACACACAGAGCATATACCGAGATGTAGCATGAAGACAAGCTTTGGCTCTGCTGCTATCTTTTTGGGTAAGGCCTGTGTTATGCTGGGGGAACGGAGGTCATATTTGCTTGCACTTGTGTCCTGTGGTTGGGGTATTGTTTAGAGACTACGAGGAATAATCTGCTCCAAAGGAAGTTGGCAATAAAGTTTACTCTATAAAAAGCAATACACAGTTAGGATACAGTTTCCTATTCTGAGTCGAAGCAGAGCGGTAAGTCAGAATTTCCGACCCAGAGGCTCAGGAAAGATTCCAAGACTTCTTGAATCACAACCAGAATGCGCAGCCACCCTCCACCTCCCTTCCTCTCACCCTTTTGGTCCCAGGCCCGCTAGGATTCCTACTCAGGATTATTTTGTTCAATTTACTGTCTGACCAGTGCTTAGGATGAATATGTACCGTGTTTGCTCTATGCTGAGTCTTCTCTTTGCATCTTAGCTGAGCACTGCCATTTCTTCTCTACATGCTGGGCGCACAGTCCAGCATTCCCCACAATTTAGGAGGCCTTTTCATACCTAAAATGCCAGAGAAACTGAACACTACCCGTAACCGATGGAGCTAACAGCTCTTGAAGTCTCTGGTGTCTTTGCTCATGGTGTTTCTTTTTCAAAATAAAAACAATAATGAACTTTTACAAGCTATTTGGATAATAGTCCATGCTTACTTTTTCATTAAAATTATTTTGAGAATGCACAGCTTTTTCCAAGTTTTTTTTTTTTCTTCTCTGGGAAGGTTTGAGTACTTTGTTTCCATATGGTCACAATTAGAATAGAGACAGCGCACATCATATAATGTATGGAATTTTTTTCTGTATTTACTGTGCTTTTGTAGACACATTTATATTAGGAACTTTCTGCACCTCTCCTTTCTCCTTCTGTATTTACACATACACTGACTAGGGAATAGGAAATATTTATCTCAGTTTTCATTCTTAGCAGTGCTGGCTCCTAAATATAAGGTCACAAAAATAGCCTAAGAGACCATAAAGGATGTATGCTGTTAAAATATAGTAAATACTTTATAATGCAGTGAAAATTTCAAATCTGCTTGGAATGAAGGCAAAAATGCAAAATGAACAAATTGCTTGGAACATAGGGCAGCTTGCCCTTTGATGAGGTGGAGCCAGTAGGGCTTGCTTCCCTGGATAGCTTTAGTGAATTTGATCATTTATTATATCCTGTCCTTCCTGGTTTTCTTCATCCCAAGGGTACACTCAATGAACTTAAGAGAAAATTTACTTTCTCTCCAGCATTATGAGTGCAGCATGCAAAGAATGAAGTGTTCAAATGGAAAGATAATGCAGTAATTAGTAAAGACAATGAGCACTGGGAAAAAAAAGAGAAAAAAATCTAAAAGGTGCAATAACAAAGCTGGAAGGGTGATTAGCATGTAGGTAAGTGAAATTCCTGAGAAGAGGCAATTCGCTGAAGGATTAGTGATTCTGTGGATCAAAGAGCTGTTTTTGCAAAGCAGAACCATTAGGTAAAGCAGTAAGCGGTAAAACAAGACAAAATAAGTCTGTGCCTTGGTGATTAGGCTTTAATAATTCTCCTCTTTTACCCAATATATCTTTTGCTCTGCTACCCACTGGACTGTCATCAAAGGCTGGGTGGAGAATTCCTCCACCTAGAACACCCTGTAATTTAGGAGTTAGGTCATTTTCCTGAAATGTGGGTTTGAAGCTCCTTAGGCAGGTATCTCCCACTTCCTCGTTACTGCATTAAAAGGGGATGATACCCCACATCTTAAGAGAGTATATTCTTGCAGGAAAACTAGGTGCTTAAATTTGAGGATAACAGTCTTGACTGGGGATCCAGTTCTGTCAAAGGTGAGCCAAGGTGGCCATGGGGGTATTTAGTATCTGAGAACTGAGAGGTGCACGGCTGCCGAAGGCAGAAAATCCATGCGCACAGCTCCCATCAGCATTTTCCACTGGATTCCTCCCTCAGTGGCATGTTGTCTTCTGTGAAAACCTTTCCAAGGCACCCAACTTCCTTCACAAATGTGTGTTCTGAACACAGGGTTGTGGGCACTGTTCTAGGAGAAGAGGGTCTTCTGCTAGACAGAGTGATGTGTCAGCCTGTGTCCATTGTAAAGGTATCCTTCAATATTTTTTCTTTCAGATTAACACCTCTGATAGCTCTCAGGCTTTGACCGGACCAGCTAAGCATGATGTGGAATTCCTGACATCACCTCAAGCTTTTGATCCTTCTCTGCTTTTTAACAGGAAGGTATGAAGTGGTCATGAATCAGAGAGATTTCCTGTTGGCTTGGCACCTGCATAAAGGACAGAGGGTGAAGGGTAATGGAGGATCTAGCTCTTTTTTTTCCCTCAACATGAAAAAAAACGGGTCAAAAACACAAAGGTGTGCTGCAAAAACTCTCATGTGCCTTCCCCACGCAAGACAATGGCACTCGTTGTTTTGTCTTTCGTAGTCCTCATGTACTGTGCGGTAGTTTGCAGGAGTCCCGGCTGCGAGGGCAAGCAAGGAGCGGCAGTCTTCCCTGCGCTGCTTTTGCTCATGCATGTGCAGGGTGGTTTCAAGGATGTTTCGTTGCAGGACAAACGATGACATGCACGAATCAAGACGTTTTGTGGAAGTTGGAAACTCTGGCTTGACAACGTTGGAAGCAGGAAAACATTAAAGACAATGTAGTAACAACATACAGGGAAGAAGGAGAGAGATAGGGTAGAAGGTAACAGGAGATTTGATAGGGTGCATGAGATAATCAGGAAAACTAGGGGAGAAAAAGAATGTGAAAAATGGGAGAGAGAAAGATCGAGAAATCTAGCTTGACAGGTGAGCCAGCTGCTCGCTGTTGTGGCTCACCGTGGGCAAAGGGGAGGTTGGAACTGTCGCCTGACCTCTGATGAAACGCAGTATGTTTTTTCATATCATCTTAATAGCAGTAGCAGCTTAATTACGTTGCATAATGGTTTGTGAAATGGATAGTCCTCACACTGACTGCTGGTGCTCTGACTTGCTGCTGTAACAGCCCAGATTATCGGGACACACCGGCATGCTGGCCAGCAAGGACATTGCCCTGCATGCAGGCATCTTCCAGGAGGGCGCTCTGCATGTTGTGGTGCTTTTTGTGTCCTTAAAGTGCATGTTTCTTCTATCCGAGCTACTCTCACAGAGATGATGGAAAAGGGTGTTTAGCAAACAGAGCCATTTGAAGGTATAAGTGAAATTTCATGGCTTGAGGTTTCTATATAACTTAAATTCAAGGACTTTAAGGCTTGTGGCCAAACACACAGTGGATCTGTGTTTTGGTTGTCCCCGTGTTGAAGCCTGAAGATGTTATTTTTCCTTTTTCGATCTGGAAACTGCTCTTACTGCGTGACAGCTGCTTGTGGGCTGCAGTGACCACACTGCAAGCCCCAAGCCGGTTGCCTCTTTCCTCGAGACAGAGAGTGCAGACTCTCTTCTGGGCCCATTTCTGTGGCGTGCTGCTGTGGGCCGGATCAGGCAGGCGGCGTTTGCCCCATGGATGATAGCAGTGCACATTCCTGTGCACCACCGTTCTCTCCCTCTGAGTGCTGCTTTCCTGTATCCCTCCTTTATAGCACATTTGTCTTTTCTTTGCTGTTTACTTGGGCACAAAGTCTCCTGTATGTGCAGGCACTTCATAAATGCCGCAGAGAGGAGCTTTTTTTTCCTGCTTGGCACATAACATAGCCCATTTCCCAGCTGCATCCTCACCAAGCTGGAAACCTGCTAGTGATACTCACGGGACATTTCCCCTTAGCAGAATTAACCTGAGGGTCCCAGAGAAAATCACAGACCTTTAGCTCCTCTGCATTCCCCTTAGTCCATACCTAAGTCTCTCGAAAACATGGCAATTGGTAACGTGTGGCATCATCTCACAGCCTCTGCCAGTGAATGTAAATGGCAGAAAGAGCCTGGGGAACAGATGGAATGAGACATGCACGTAAAAAATTAAAGTATTTGTGAGGGAATTTGGCAGGGATATAGGAATGCTTCAAGGACTGTGTACGGGGGTGGAGGGAGGCAGTAAGCAATGTGGGGCCATATTCTGGTGATCCGTTTCTTCCAGAAAAAAATGTGTGACTTCTAGTCAAGCAACACAACAACAAAAATTGTTTTTCCTCCTCCCCCAACTCATGATACCTTTTTTTGAAAGCCTGACAATGTCTTCTAGTTGGAGAAGAGGTGTAGGTGTTCGCTTTTTCATTGCAAAGATTAGAGCGAATGAGGGATAGCAATCCCATGGGAATGGGATGATTTGGTGCAAAGTCAGAAGCCAGATTTGTGTGCACAGTGCAGGACCAAGTGACTGCACTGGTGAAAGAAGTACTGCACTAATGCAGCTGGTAAATTCAGTTATGTGAAATGCCTTAGGTTTTAACTCTAAAATGGTCTTAGACGTTGACTTAGCCTAACCATTTCACAAGTGACTTCTTAGGAGATTTTGTACACATAAAAAGAGGGACTTTTTCTGAGTTGGCTTATTAGACCAAAAAGGAAAAAAAAGAGGTTTTATATAAAAGTGGCATAAAGAAAGGCCAATGGAAAAAATGTAATAGTTGGCTTCACCATGGACTTCTAGACCTACTAATTTGGGTTTCCTGTAAGGGACCTTGGGGACTAGCACTTCTGATGCATTCATGGCCCAACCCGGTTCCTGGAAGGTGTTTCTAGAAGGTCATGATCAGAGCTTCCCTTTGCCTTGAGTGCAGCTTTGCAGCAGCTGTGTGAGCTACTGTGAGCCCTGGTGCCACATTCACAGGGATGTGGTGACATCCCGGTCAGAATCACTTCAATCCGGTTTTGGAATCTGCAGTCTCCGTTTCTCAGTGAGGGCTCACAGGAGCTCTCAGCCTGAGCATAAAGGTCCTTGCTGCTCAGGCCGGGCACCTGAATTCAAGCATGTGAAAAGACGATTTCCTCCCACCACAGGAAAAGCTGCCACATTAGCTGAAAAGGTTTTTTAAAAAAAGTGACATTTATTCTAGCAATGCAGTCTAGCAGTCCTAGGAAGAGGGAACACCTGATGGTTTTCATTAGATCATTAACACAGTTTCTGGTGGTGCTGCTGGTCTTGAAAGGAAGGCTGCATCCAGCCAGCCTGCTCAAAAGAAACCCTGAAACAATGATGTTAATAGAAGAGACAACTCAGGTTTCCCTTGATAATCATAAAGGCCTCAAATTACCTTCCTTTCCAACCCCAAAGGGGGCATAAATACTTCATTTATGAGACTGTGCATGACTAATCTATTTCTACTTGCTAATTGTAATGACTAATGCATCTTACAAGACAAATATTAGCTTGTAATACACCTGAACAAGTAGATTTGTAAGTGTTAAGCAAAAATACAAATAATTAGCAGAAGTTGACTGGTATTATCTTCTAATTAACTGCAAAGACACCGTGCTTGGATGGAAAAAAAAACAGGAAGATTGCTCAGGAACCTGTAGAAGTTGCTAGGGCAAGTCACTCTGCTCTTGAAAATACAAGAGGGGAGCTGAATTTTCATGGGAGCTGAATTCAGTCAAGCTTCCCCTGCTGACGTCAGTGCAGGAGAAGCACTTTTGGCCTGTTCCTGCCTGCTGAGACCATGTGTCCATGCGGAGAGTTTGGCAGAGCCCTCTGGGCAGAGGTGATTGCAGGAGACAGGCCCTGGCCTGGCAGCACGGCGAGGGAGTCCCACGGCGAGGGAGCCCCGCGGCCCGGCCTGCCCGCCGCCAGCATGGGGCGTCCCACGCGGCCAGCGCGCATAGCTGAAAGGGGCCTGGAAAGCTCCGCGGTGACATTAGAAGGACTCTATTTATGCCTTTGAACCTTTTCCTGAGTGCAGGCTCGACCCATGGCCTGGAGGAATTGTGTCCCTGTTGCCAGGAGAGGCTGTTTGATTACGAGCACCTTGTACCCTGGGCCTGGGCGTCCCTGGTACCCCTCCAGCCTGGAGCACACACCAGCACCAGGCACTTCATGCCGGAGATGTCACCTCAGGCAGCAGCTTGTCGCTGAAGCAAGAGTGATACTATGCACACGGTTGATGAAAATCCATGAAAGTTGGCTCCTAAGCTACCAATTAGATTTTGGCTCCCAAACAGTATCATTACTTCAAAAATAGTGTTGTAGAATAATGTGTTTTATAAGAATAATGTAATGCTCAGTGTAAAATCTGCATGTAGTACCTAAAAATATTTGACCTATGTTACAGACAGTCATCCAGAAACCAACTGGCTTGCCTAAAACCACAAAATGATTTGAGGATAACATTAGAAGTACTGCTCAGCACTCCTGCTCCCAATTCCTTTCTTCAGTTTTGATACTCTCCATGTTTTCAATGTTCTGATAAGCAACTACAGTATTTTACCTTGAGAAATAGGTCCCCTTTTGGCAGGTGTCACAGGTGTGCAACTGGTGCGCCTAATTTTTCCATTGCAAATAATTACAAAGCCAAACTGTAGATTGGGAATGTGCTTGGGTTGCAATTGAATGCTCTGCATCCTGTCGAATCTCAGTACAGATTCAGTGCATTTGCAGTGCCAAACAACAACAGCAAAAAAGGTTTATGTGCACTCGTACAGTTCATCGTCCTGGGCTAACATTGAGACCAAAACCAGATAGTCAATGACGTCATTGCATGTAGCAGTTTCTCGTTTTCCTCTTGCAAAACAGCTATGCTTTTAGTTTAGATGTTATACAAAAATATTTCTTCAAAATACGAGTTTGGAGCACCAATTGTGTTTTGTCAATTGTGTTTTTAGCTTGCAGAGTTTGGCACTGCTGTCTGCTGTGGCCTGCAGCTTTGTCAGTCATTGAAAGGATCGCTGTTAGCGATACTCGGGATACTTCTGGCTAAACAACAGGTCAGAATAAGGTTGTGTCCAAAAAACCCCAACAAATGTGAAATAATCAGCAAGTACAAACACTCCGTGTTTCCTAATACAGGCAGAAGGGTTTGTTTAAATCAGGATGGTTGATCTTTGCCCAAGTTAGGTCCATGTGCCAGAAAGCTGAAGGTCATCCCAGATTAGCCTAGACCAGAAACCACTGCAGCCTTCAGCAAATACAGTTCCTGATTGGAAGCGCCGCGGAGCTCAAGCAGGAAGCACAAGGCAGTGGGTTTTCCACTGGCTGTGCTTGGGAAAGCACCAGCTTGTTGTAAGGAGCTATGGAAAGGTTGTACTCTCTCCATCTGCCTCTACAAATCCATTCAAATTTTGCTCTGCATAGGATCTCCCTCAAAGACTTT